GGTGGATGCCGGTAGACGCTAGATCGATACATATGCTTCCCTAGCCTCGAGACGCTGGCAGACGCTAGATCGATATCTATACTTTCCTAGTCGCTGACGCTGCCGGACGCTCGGAACGCTAGTGGACGCTGGTAGACGCTGGTGGACGCTGCCGCAAAGTATGAACGCAGCCTGATTTGGAAGGAAATCGCCAATCTGTTTGGGCATTTCCAACGAGATACCGAAACCTTTACCTTGAGCTTCCTTTGCTGATGTCTTCGTATGTCTGCTCCATCGATCTTCCTTGAAAACATGTGATCATCCGAAAAGGCGATTCGTTTTCCGGGAAACATCTGAAAGGATTCAATCTCAGACAAAAGCCAAAACCGGCAACAAGATCATGACACCTACCGTTCTTCTGTTAATTTTCGGTCTCACAGGAATCGCAGGTGCCAAAACTTCTGCATCTTCAATAAAGAGATTGTTTTCAACGACAGGGATTGCTGTGAAAACGTCTTCGATCAATGATGGTGTTGTTGTTGTCGTTGTTGTTGTTGATGTTGATGACATTGTTGGCAATGTGGACGGCGAATGCATGGCGAAACCTTCTTCTTTATCGATAAGATATTGCGCGTATCTGCTTGGATATTTGCGCTTAAGCTGTTCTGAAACATTGAGATCATCAGTTTGATAAGCTTTTCCCTCCAAGCGATTTCAGTTCCCACACGAGCAAACTAAGAGGTCCTGTTGGATTCTAGGAAAAAAGGGTATGCTTAGTAAACTTCAGGGATTGTTTGCGGCTGCTTGGGAGAGGGGTCGCACCTGGGCTCAATAAAACGTTGTTTTTATGGTGAAGTACATGACGCGGCAGGTATTTTCGCTGTTCCCCATGCTTAAAGGCACAAGGCACGATACTTAGGTGCTTGCTCAAAAAATAGTAACTGGGGTGGTGTACAGTCCTCATCATTGCGGACCGGTGGGGCGTGTCAGCCAGAAGGAGTGCGCACACTGTTGAAGCCGTTCTCAGCCTTTTTTGTTGCAACGCGTATGCGACAAAAAGTGGTAGAAAACGAGTAATACGAAGGATATAATACAGTAATGTCACTTGCCCGCTTCAACAACTGGTGCAGAACGACTTTGGCACCGCGCCAAACGCAGCCGCACTGACACGCCCCACCGGTCCGCAATGATGAGGACTGTACATTGGCTAAGTGATGAAAAAGTGAAGTTAAACTGCTTCAATTCTGTGAAAAATACTGTTCTGCACTAATTGCACGAGTGTATAGGAAGCATTTCTGGACGGCTTTCCCGTCAGCATCCTTCCAAAATACTCGCTTGACAGCCATCATCGTTAGAAAATGCATTCAAGCGTGGTGTTTTAATTACAAACGGCTACTTCGACCTGTAATCTTTCCCTAGGAACCAATGAGAGCATTCGGCTCTTTGACTCCAGAACCTCATTGCAAGCATTTTATGGCCCTGGATTTGAATAGTTCGTCTATTCAATATGAAAAATCATTTCGAAGGATTAGTCTTATCTGATCGTATGGGCGTGGTCAGCCCGCTCTCTACATGTGACATATATGCAGAAACGTTTTGTCGCATTAATGGACTATTTGTAATGGGAAGCTAACATGAGCAACCCCCTTCCTCTCAGATGATCACAGGGGATCGCGCTTTTGAAAATATTTCCTTCATACAGTTGGTCCCAGCACACATAAGACATACAGATCATACAGTAATCTTCAGCCGTTTTCAAAGCTTAATACCACTCACCCAATTTTTTCTGTACTGATCCTTCGACATAGTTGTTGCTTTGGGTCGTTGTTGGTGCTCTCATGGTTGACTTTTCTACGAAGGCCTCCACTTGAACAGGCTCTACTTTGATAGGCACCTCGATGGGCTCAACTCGGGCAGGCAGAACTCGAGCAGGCAGAAGTTTTACGGCTCTGACAGGCTGGAAATCGTTTCAGTTCAATTCAGCAAAGTCTACTCGCTTAAATTTCTTACCGGTGAAACACGTGCTCCCTTGAAGGCAAATTGCTCCTTATTCTTAACCAACTGCTCCATCGATGATTGCCATCTGAATGTTTGGGCCACGTTCTGACAAAGTTCTTTCAATTTAAAGGCGAAGAGGTACCTTTTGTCGTGATTTTCAAGCCCGTTTATATCTCGCATTAACTCGTTTTTACGACCGAGTTTCTCCATTTCGAGGTCTTCTTCAGCATTATCAAGGACTGAAAGCGAAAAACTCGTTAGTGAGTATATCTGAGCAAGTCAATTCTAACATGGCTCCCTGCATTCATAAAGCTTATGGACTGCTCTGTTAAGATGCTGACTTCCACAGCTGCACTCACCAGGCACTGCGAAAGGAATTCCTTCCTCAAAAAGGCTCTCCGGCGTAGTAAAGTCCGCGAACATGTCAGTTGTTGTTACAAGCGTCGTTTCGACGATCGCTGCTTCAGTTACCTGAATCTGAACCTAATTTCATTCTCAACTTCTAGCAGGAAGTCAACATGCTCCAAATGCGTAGCAGATCTTCAAAAGGGCCAAAAAGTAGTAGACTTGCGAAGGGGGGAGGGGTGTGATAACCTTCTTGGGCCAAACAATGTCTTGAAAGGCACCATCCTATATAAATATGGTGATTTGACCCTCTTAGATAGGCCTTATACGAGAACCCGGTTGGGACGATGGACTCAGGCGGATTCTATCCGGAATGTCGAGCTGCACCCTGCGGTACAGGCACCAAATGCTAAATAGCCTCGGGGCGGAGGTTCTCTAGTGGCAAGTGCCGCTGCCGAACACGAACACGGTCGGGCGGTTTTGACCGAGCCAGCTGAAACTTCCTTCTGGGTTATTGAAGACCCGGCGCGCCCGGGTGATAAAAGGCTGACCCGTGTATCAGCTGATTCCGCAATTCATGCTATGAGCCAAAATGCATCAATGAACCACTATGCCTTTTACAAAAAGTGGAACGCGTGCGCATCGCAAAAGGGGGATCGATAAGCACCGAACTTCCTTGTGCCCGCCCTGAGTTCGCGAGTTAACTGA